AATGTGGGGGGGGGGGGGGAAGGGAGTGGGGGGTGTGGGAAGAGACTGGACAAAAATCGTACACCTATAGATGACAATAATGGAGGGGAGGGTAAGGGCAGAGGGTGGGGAGGGAACTGAGTGGAGGGGAGCTATGGGGGGAAAAAGAGGAACAACTGTAATCTGAACGAGACTGGACAAAAATCGTACACCTATAGATGAGGACAATGGAGGGGAGGGTAAGGGCAGAGGGTGGGGAGGGAACTGAGTGGAGGGGAGCTATGGGGGGAAAAAGAGGAACAACTGTAATAATCTGAACAATAAAGATTTATTTTTAAAAAAGAGATGGATGGGAAGGAAGAGATTTAATTAGTTTGATCCTCTTTGGAGAAGTCTAATTCTGCTAATATCTGTCTATTTGATGGGGAAACTCCAATGGTAACTACTTTTCTGTTAAAATTGAATTACAGAGAAGTTAACGGGCATACACAACAGAGACACTGAGGAACAAAGGTTCTGAGGGATGTTAAAGGAAGGGATTGATGCACAGGTGTGTAAAGTATGAAGACTTACAACAGGCAGCCCTTCAGCATACAGGGTGCCATGGGCAGTTACCAGATATTCCAATAAATGTAAATGAGGATGAGAGTGATAAACTAAAAATGAAATTATGACTCTATCATCTTCTCTATCAAGGAAAATTATCAACAAATTAAAACACTTTTGATATGGATTTGGGATTTACTCAGATTTTCCTAGGGGCTGAAGTAAATGAGGACTAACAGAAAGTTTCTGAAGACCCACTGCTCTCTGCTATTAGTGACCTGGGATTACTTAGACAAGGAAGCAGTGTAGATCAAATGACAGATGTATTCTACAGGAAGAGATATAGTTTTTGATTATCAGACATGTAGAATAAAAATATTCAACATAATATGTTGCTTAATTGGAATAAAGTACATATTTAAACTATCTTTTATTATAACTGTGAAACAGACAGAATAACATTGCTTTTATGACAGTATACCTGAGTGGATTACTGATGGTTGTCAGTCTTTCTCAAAACAATATTTTTCCTTTCTACTGTCCAAACTCAAAATGCTATTTTGTTATTTCCTTAATAAAATAGAAAACATACCTTATAAATCTATGGGTAATGTAAAGTTGTGAGATACAGCTATTAGATAAATCTTCAAAAATGTTTTG